GAAACTGCTTGCTCAAGTCTCAGGAAACTGAAATTGAGGCCTGATCTCTGAGAGAAGACTGAGCAGCCTGTTATGGCATCTGCTTGGTCCTTTCAATACAAGTTTGCGTTCCCACGAACAGTGGAGGAGTGTTCCCCTTGCTCCACATCCTCTCCAACATTGACTGTCATTGGTGTTTTTGATCATAGCCATTCTGAGAGGTGTAAGGTGATATCTCAGAGTCATTTTGATTTGCATTTCCCTGATGACTAAGGATGTTGAGCATGTTTTTAAATGTCTTTCAGACATTTGAGATTCTTCTGTTGAGAATTCTCTGTTTAGCTCTTTAGCCCATTTTTTAATTGAATTGTTCAGTATTTTGATGTCTAGTTTCTTGAGTTCTTTGTATACTGTGGCGATCAGTCCTCTGTCAGATGTGGGGTTGGTGAAAATCTTTTCCTATTCTGTAGGCTGTCTTTTGTCTTATTGACTGTGCCTTTTGCCCTACAAAAGCTGTTATTAGTTGTTGCTCTTAGTGTCTGTGTCTGTGTTACTGGTGTTATATTTAGGAAGTGATCTCCGGTGCCAATGCGTTCAAGAGTACTTCCTACTTTCTCTTCTATCAAGTTCAGTGTAACTGGATTTATGTTGAAGTCTTTGATCCACTTGGACTTAAGTTTTGTGCATGGTGACAGATATGGATCTATTTGCAATCTTTTTTTTTTTTTTTTTTTTTTGGTTTTTCGAGACAGGGTTTCTCTGTAGTTTTGCGCCTTTCCTGGAACTCACTTTGTAGACCCGGCTGGCCTCGAACTCACAGAGATCCTCCTGCCTCTGCCTCCCAAGTGCTGGGATTAAAGGCGTGAGCCACCACCGCCCGGCCCTATTTGCAATCTTTTACATGTTGACATCCAGTTATGCCAGCACCATTTGTTGAAGATACTTTCTTTTTTCCATTGTATAGTTTTGGCTTCTTTGTCAAAAATCAGGTGTTCATATGTGCGTGGATTAATGTCAGGGTCTTCAATTCTATTCCATTGGTCTGGTTGTTATTTATTAAGTGGCACTATTAACCGTATGAGATAAGCCACGAGGCACAACAAAACCCACTGTAACAGTGTATTAAGGGAAGGGAACAGAAGGGGTGTGCAGAGGCCTATGGAATGATCATCATGCAGGAAGAGAGGGGAGGAATAGGTGGAACCTGCTTTCATAGGTTCCCCCTCCCACACATGCGCATATGGGCTTACGTAGCTGTGCCATGTATGTGCATAAATTACGTGATCATGCTGGGCACAAATTATGTGATCATGCAGCGCATGAATTACGTAGGACCTAAGGCCCTAGGATGACTAAGCATCTTGCCTGGGTACCAGGGAGCACATGTGCAGTGGTGTAGCTGGGGGAGCGGCTAGGAATTCTAATGATGGTTCTTACAATAAGAGTGACAAATTATCTTGAGCTACCTTTATCTCATTTACTTATCATTCCCTGCCCACCTCTGTGTCTCACTCAACATCCTGTGACTTTTAGCTGAAATCCATTAGCTTCCTCCAACCCAAAGGCTAAGAATGTTATCAGATAGCACCTGAGGGCTGTAGCAGAGATGTTCCCAATTTACTGTAACCTGCTTTATAAAGTGGGGTTTTCTGCCCACCAGATACATAACGTGAGGACATGATCGGTCCAAGGAATGGTTGAGGGGAAGGTTTTTACTGTAGATGTGAGGGGGGGTACAGTAACAGGCATCTGGAAGAGTCCAGAGCAAAGAAACATGGCCAGCAGACTGAAAGGACTATGAGAAGGGGAGTGGGGGGCAGGGTGAGCCCGAGAAGATAAGAGAGAGGGCCAGGAGAAAAGGGAGTCAAGAGGACTGATAGCCAAGAAGGCGCACAGCAGAAATGGCGGGGTTGAAGAGGAGTGAGGAGTTGGGGTAAGAGAAGCCCCCAAGCTGGGAAAGCTAGTGTAGGGGAGGGGCGAGAAGGACCAGGATACCCCCATGGACTATGTAACAGGTGCTCGTGATGCTGAGAGAGCCTGGGGGCCAGCTGGAGCTCTGGTACACTACGAGGCACCACAGTTAGCTATTTGTTTCTTTTGGATCTGACACCTACTACCTACCTGATGTTTCCGCCAATGTATTTTTTATTTAAAACTACTAGAGTTATTTATTTTTGTGTGTTTTGTCTGCACACGTGTGCAGCACATGCGTGCCTACGGAAGCTAGAGCACCAGCTTCCCTGAGGCTGGTGTTACCATTGGTTGTATGAAGGGACTCTAGCCAGCTCGAGACTGGCAAACATGGCTCTGGCAGGCTTGCCCTTCTATCCCATTCCCTCTGCCTTAACCGAAAAACAAAAACAACAAAACAAAATGTTAGATTAGAGTCCTAAAGTTAGCCCCCAAGGTCCATTCCCTTATTTGGCCACTTCCTCCTCCTGAGGCTGACCACCAAGGTCCAACTACCAAAGTTTTGAAGTCCAGCAATCAAAACCCCTATGGCTCACCCAATTAACACGTCCAATTAAACACCTCATCCTAGGCCGGGCGGTGGTGGCGCACGCCTTTAATCCCAGCACTCGGGAGGCAGAGCCAGGCGGATCTCTGTGAGTTCGAGGCCAGCCTGGACTACCAAGTGAGTTCCAGGAAAGGCGCAAAGCTACACAGAGAAACCCTGTCTCGAAAAAACCAAAAAAAAAAAAAAAAAAAAAAAAAACCACCTCATCCTAACGCAGGGGTTCCCTGTTTACCTTTATAAACCACTATTTTCCTGTGGCCCAAGTCTGTCTCCTCTCTATCCAGAGCAGTCCTTTGTGTTCCTCCAGGACAAATGCCCCTCCCCCTCTTTTGCCCCCCCCCCCCCAATCCTCATTTATTTATTTACTGCCCTTTGTCCTTCTGGGGCAAAGAAATCTCCTTTGTGCTAAGAACTCGGTCTAGGGGGTCCTGTGCCAGTACAGTTCCTCACATTGTAAGCCTCCATTGAGTGCTGGGAATTGAATGTGGGTCCTCAGCTCAAGCAACAAGTGCTCTTAATTGCTGAGCGGTCTCTCCAGCCCTTCATCCAAAGCATTCTGAAAGTTTGTCCATTTATGACTTCCTTTTGTTCTGTTACAATACATCCAAGAAAATGTTACAGCATTGAAACGTGGTACTGGGGTGGGACCTGAATTCCTGTTCCTGGCTCATGGCCACTCAGATTTAGCACCAGACTAAACTATCTCTAATTCCTTTTGAGGCCAGAGCTACGTGTTTGCCCCGACACCTGCAACTCAGTCTATGGCTGAGTCTCGTCTGTAACTCTTGATCTTCGTGCCTCCCGGGTGTTGGGATTAGAGGCATGCAGGATGCCTGATTGAATGCGGGCCCCTGCAGCCTAAGCAGGTACTCTAGACTCAGGCCCTAGCAGCAGCTTGCTTTCTTAGTTATCAGTATCGACTTTTCAAATTACTCTATCTACTTAGGAGTGGTGTCTTCCTTTTTGAAATGTATTTTCATTCTCTCTCTTTCTCTTCCTCCCTTTTTGACACTCTCCAACAAGTCTACTGAAAAGGAATTGTCCTGCTGGGTGGTGGTGGTACACGCCTTTAATCCCAGCGCTCCAGAGGCACAGGCAGGCTGATCACGAGTTCAAGGTCAGACTGGTCTATAAATCGAGTTCCTGGACAGCCAGGGCTACACAGAGAACCCCTGTCTTGAAGAGAGGGGGGGGGGGAGGGAGAGGGGGGGAAGGGAGGGGGAGGGGGGGAGGAAGGAAGGACAGACAGACAACTGCTCTGCCACTGAGCTTCATCCACAGTCCAACAGTTAAAAAGCTTTTGGAAGCTCTGCTTTCAGACAAGAGGAACTCGGGCGAGAAATGGTTCATTATAAAACCTTCTGGATCCGGGTGACAAAGCTTGCCTCGTTCACTTTAGCCCCTAGATTCAATCCTCAGTGAGAGATGGGAGGAAAGGCGGAGGAGACTGTGATAGAAACTGCCCAGGTGAGACCTGGGGAGGTGTGGGCCAAGTTCTGGGCTGGACCTGGCAGTTAGGCAGGTCCCAAGGTAATACCGAGTGTAGGAGGTAGTTCTAGAATCGCCCAGACGTCGTGTGTGTGTGTGTGTGTGTGTGTGTGTGTGTGTGTGTGTGTGTGACTTTGGTTTTCATTTTCTGAGACATCTCCCTCTGGAGGCCAGTCTGGCCTGGTCCTTGCCACAGTCCTTCCGACTCAGTCTCCCCAGTGCGGGGATTCCAGGCATGAAACCACCGTGCTCAGCACTTGACGCTTTTCCTTCTCTGGATCTCCCCTGTACAGTGAGGGGGGCCCTGACTCCCACCCCATTTCCTTAAAGTGACAATGTCCGCGGAAGAGATGCTTTGCGGTCAGTGAAGTGGGTAGGGCGTAAGCCCTGGGGTCGGGCCTGGAAGCATGTGACGGTGATGAGCTCTGCAGTCTGATCGCTCCGCTGCTCCATCTTTCTCCTTCCACCGGCTGGCTCCAGGGCGAGGGCAGGGCAGAGACCGGAATAGAAGAGCTAAATTTATCCTGGGAGCCCGGGCGCGGCTGCAGCTCGGCCGGCAGGCCGGGACGGAGGCGGGGCCCGGACGGAGGCGGTGCTCGGTGGCCCCGGAGCTGGTTTCCTGCCTGGGGAACAGGCCTCCCCGAGGTGCAGGAGCTCCGCCTGGAATTTCCCCACAGCGCCGCCCTGCTCCCCGACCGGGAGGGGTCCACCCGAGCTCGCTGCGCAGCCCGGGAGATGGAAACCCAGAGCCGGCCCCCTCCCTGAACCCCCGTTTCCACATATGCGAGTTAAAATGGAAGAAAATATACACTGTACTTCAGGAGGGCGGGCGAGTGCCACGGCGCACTTTTCTCTCCTTCCACCACGTCTGTCCCAGGACTGAATTTATGTGGTCAGGCATGGTGGGTGGTGAGCGCCTTTACCCCTTGACTGGCTGAGCCATCTCTCTGGACCCCCATTTTTTTGTTTGTTTTGTTATCGCTGAATATCGAACCCCGGACAGATTCACCAACGCTGAACTGTAACCCCAGACTATTTATTTGAGATAGGATATCATGTAGCCCATTCTGGCCCCAAACTGGCTATGTAGCCAAGGCTTACCTTAAAATCAAAATGGGGGTCTGGAGAGATGGTTCAGTGGTTAGGAGCACGTGCTGCTCTGGAACAGCATGTTCGAATCTTAGCACCCACATGACCGCTCACAGTTATCGGTAACTCCAGTTCCAGGGGATCTGACGCCCTCTTCTGGCCTCCTTGGGCACTGCAGACAAACATACATATTAAATAAAGGCGTACATAAATAAACAACGACAACAAATCGACAAAGAATAAAACTCCAAGGGAACCGTAAACTTTTCTGACGGATGGTGCTTTTAGTTGTCCAAAGTTTTAAAATTCCTAAAAACAGGACAAAAATCACGAGACATAGTGTCGAAGCAAAGCAAAACCTCCTCAGGTAAATTCAAACGAAGGGTTGGACTGTACTCCCCTACCCAGACATCCCCGTGAGGATAAGTTCTTTTCTCTAATGTCGATCCCAGGCAGGGGCTGACTAGGGTCCTCTACAGTCCAACTCTCAGCCTCCCGGGGTAGCAGTGTGATTGATCCCAAGCCTTGCATCCTAAGACTGGGAGACAAGAGTTCACAGACTGGGGGTGTGACTCAGTGGTGGTGTGCTTGCCCAGCAAGCAAAGGGGAGAAGAGGAGTGAACGAGAGTCTTGCTATCTCATGAGGACATCCACAGCTAGGGACACCGGCAAAGCAAGCATGCGGGGACTGCTGAACCGGAGAGCGTTAGGGGACACGCCCAGACACACTCGGTTGCCCGGCAATACATCAGGGATGACACACTCTCACTGTTTGGGCCCAGGCAGAGTCACGGGAGGCAGCTGCCAGATGTAGTCCCTGACTGTGCACTTGTCCACGGGGAAAACCTCCCAGTCACAGGTCACAAGCAGCTGGGTTTGTAAAGAGCCCACTTACCACACCCAGACACAGACGTTGTCCGCACAAAGCCCACACCCGCCGATGCTCGGTCTCGCACACACACTTCTGAGTGGCCGGTCTAGACTCTTAGCCTCCTCTTGTTTCCTTTTGGAAAACCTTCAGCTTTTCCATTTTAATCAGGCAGTGAGACAACAGTCTATTTCTGTCACTTCTGAGTGTTGGCCAAAGATTGTTCTTTTGAAATACCCACAGTAAGTAACAAATAATACCTCTGACCTTTGCTCTAAAATTTTACTTTGCTAACACAGAGCACACTGTGTGAATGCTTAGTGGGCAGTTTTGATTTTGTTTGTTTGTTTTGAGTTAAGGCCTCACTTTGTTGTCCCGGCTGTCTGGAATTCACTGACGATTTATCTCCTAAGCCCTGGGATCACAGGTGTACATCGCCTGGTCTGTTTTTATGTGGTGTTTGGCATCAAACCCAGGAATCCATGCATGCAAAACAAGAACTCTGCTAATTGAGGTACACCCCCAGTCCTCATTTTATTTTGATTTTTTTGAGACAAGGTTTCAGTATGCAAGCTCTGGCTGGCTTGGAACTCGCACTGTAGCCCAGGCTAGCCTGCTAGCCTAGAACTCAGATCCACCTGCATCTGCCTCCCAAGTGCTGGGATTAAAGTCCTGCATGACCACACCAGGTCTCTCTGCCTTGCCTTTTTTTTTTAAAGACAGGGTCTCACTGTATACCCCTGGATGACCTGGGACTCAATAAATACACCAAGCTGGCCTTGAACTCAAAGCGACCCACTTGCAGGGAGGAATCCTAAGGGAATGTGTGTTGTTGACATGGTACAGCCATGTGGAGGACTCCAAGGCCTGGGCCCAGGCTGAAGAGGGGTATTAGAGCTTCCTAAAAGGTCTGAGTGGCAGTGAGCAGGGTATACAACTGGTAACTAACTGCAGCTTCTTCCTCCAGCATGCTTACACCCTGAGACTGCTCCCTTCCAGAGACTTTCCACTGAGACTAGCCAAGCCCTCCTAACTGAGCACTGAGGTTTGCTCTCTTTTTGGGAGGTAGTAGGTGGCCCCCTCACCATGCACACTCCCACCTGATCACAGCCTTTCTTCATTCCCTCATCACCCTTACTCAGGGTTCCAAGACCCGAGGCTCACTGGACCGCGTACCTCTGCCTCCCCAGTGAGACTGCTGGATTAAAGGTGTGAGTCATCATGCCTGGCAATTTTAAGATTTTTTAAAATTTATTTATTTTTTATATTATGTGCATTGGTGTTTTGCCTGCATATATGTCTGTGTGAGGGTGTCAGGTCCCCTGGAACTGGAGTTACAGACAGTTGTGAGCTACCATGTGGGTGCTGGGAATTGAACCTGGATCTTCTGGAAGAGCAGTCAGTGCTCTTAACCGCTGAGCCATCTCTACAGCCTCCAATTTTAATTATTAATAAAGAGTATTCAAGGTGTGTTTGGGTTTAAGAAACAGGCAAGCTCATTCATTTTACAATGATTATTAAAATTATCTGGGCTAGAGATGGCTAATTGGTTAGGAAGACTGCTTTTCCAGGGAACCTGATTTTTTTTTTTAAGATTTATTGATTTATTTATCATGTGTACAGAGTTCTGCCTGCATGTATCCCTGCAGGCATAAGAAGGCACCAGATCTCATTACAGATGGTTGTGAGCCACCATGTGGTTGCTGGGAATTGAACTCAGGACCTTTGGAAGAGTAGCCAGTGCACTTAACCTCTGAGCCATCGCTCCAGCTCCCATGAGTCATTTCTCCAGTTCCTGGGAACCTGATTTTGATTCCCATCACACACGTAGTGGCTTACAACTACCAGTACCAGGGGATCTGATGCCCTCTTCTGGGCTCTACAGACGCCAGGCACACGTGCACAGACATACATATAGGCAAAACACCTATACACAACAATTTATAAATGATAATGAAACTCTCACTCTTATGGCCTGCTTCCAAGGAGAAGAGAAGATGGGAAAGAAGGAGGGGGTGTAGAGGGAGGCAGGTTTTCTCACTGATTACTTCAAGTAAATAGAAGAGGAACTTTATTTATTTGATTATTATAATGAACATCCTTAATTTAATTTTTATTCAGTGTGTGTGTGAGTGTGAGTGTGTGTGCGTGCATGTGTGTGTGTGTGTGTGTGTGTGTGTGTGTGCATGAATGTGAGTGAGTGAGTGTAGGCATGTGCTCTGGTGCTCATGTGGACATCAGAGGACAATTTTTGAGAATATTTCCAAGCATGCACTTTGACGCAGCGAGCCATCTCTCAGCCCTATTTATTTGATTTAGAGATGGGGATCTCATGTACTCCAGGATGGTCTGGACATTACCAGGTAGCTAAGGATGACCTTGAACTTTGGGTCCTCCTGGCTCCATCTTTCAAGTGCTGAGGTGACAGTTGGGTGCCATCATACCCAGTTTATGCAGTGCTGGGGATCAAACCCAGGGCCTCCTTCTCTGTACTAGGAAGGCACAGCCTGAACCTGAAGGTGTCCCTTTGTGGGAAGCTTTCCATATCATCCAAGCTAACACTTGCCAGCCACTAAATTCATTCCTCTTTTTTTTTTTTTAATTTTTTGCATTTTTTTATTATTTTTTTTTCTTTCATCAGCTTGATACAGTACAAATTCTTATCCTAATAGTGAAATGTTTCACTGGATCTTGCCCAGTGATTGAGTAAAACCAAAACTTATTATAAGCCACAGTCATCCTAGGGTCCCCGCTGCTATGTAGCCTCCCTGGGTCTGTGGGTTGTAGTCTGATTGTTCTTTGCTTTATATCTAGTATCCACTTACGAGTGAGTACATACCATGTTTGTCCTTCTGAGTCTGGGTTACCTCACTGAGGATGATATTTTCTAGTTCCATCCATTTGCCTGCAAATTTTATGATGTCATTGTTTTTCTCTGCTGTGTAGTACTCCACTGTATATATGTACCACATTTTCTTTTTTAAAATTTAATTTAATTTAATTTTTTGCCAAATGTCGTTTATTGAAGGAGGGAGGAGGTCTTAAATACAGGCTTACAGCACAATGGGAGAACCCCAGAGGGCAGAAGTTCGCTACCATTGTTTTACAATCTTGTATCTAAGCTATTAAAGCCTATTATGTAGGATACACAGACAAGGAACTTCCCTTAAGCATTCAGGAGGGTGGAACCTGGCAGGGAATTAGCATAGGGAGGATATAAGGTCAAGGTCAGCAAGCAAGGCAACAGTTACCCAAAATTGGGGGGCCAAGGCCCTATAGGTCCCCCTTTTACTAAAAAATGAGCTTCTGACTTAGGTTGCGTGGGACGTCAGCAGGTCACCTTACCCATCATGGAGACGCCTGCCCAGGCCACGCAGGCACTCTGTCTTGGGTTGGTGAGCACCCCCAGGCATTACCCGTCTCTGAATACTCATTATCATACAGGCTCTATTGTGTGTGAGCTGCAGAGTTAACTGCTGCCAAAGATCTCAAAGTGGCACTGGGCTTGCAATCTGTCTGTTGGACACAGAAAAGACCAACAGAAGTCCTAACCCACCCATAGCCAGTAGGCTAAAGGCAACTGAGCCATTCCCTTCCTTAATGAGCCTTATTGCAAATTGGAGTCTTTGTAAGATGGTATCCCAAAAGCAAATGTAACTTGAGTTTATAAATTTATAATTTTCAAAGCCAATCGAAATGTATATAACTATTGAATTAAATTTATCATGCCCAATAGAATGAAAGATTAACTAACTGTGGTAGCTACTTTTGCTGCCAGGGTCTCCACTGTGCTAGCTGTAGTAGCCAATTATGAAATGGTAATCCCAGAAGCAGTAGCAGCAGTGGCCGCCACTGCTATAACAGCAACAATGGCAGCAGCGATGTCAAATTCTCTTCTAGAGCATGTGGGCATCCACTGGCATGGATACAACTCCAGGAACACGAACCACAAAAGCCCATTTTTCTTGATCCCAGCACGACTTAAGCTGGCAGCTCTGCAAAAGAACAACTAAAAACCATAAAGAAAAACCAGGCAGCTCATAAGGAGCAGAACTAATGGTCTCATAATGGCTACATTCAGGCTCATAAATTTTAAGGTATCTTTAAAGGGGGCTAAATGAATTTCAGGAGGCCAATAAATGTTACACAGAGCCACTCCTGAAAAGTAGGTACTACACCAGCTTGAAGAGGGTTGCAAAAGGAAAAGGCTTAGCTGGCATGCTACTGTTAACAAATGGAGGTCAGTGACCTTCAGGGTTATCCTTAATCTCTAAGGTGTCTGGGTGACACGTTCTCAAACATACTTGAAAAAGCAGTTAGGTGGTGTATATCTTTAATCCCAGAACTTGGGAGGCAGAGACAGATGGATTTCTGAGTTTGAGGCCAGCTTGGTCTACAGAGCAAGTTCAAGAATAGCCAGACAATAGCCAGGCTACACAGAGAAAGCCTGTCTCAAAACAAACAAACAAATAAACAAACAAAAACAAAACCACACACATACAAGAAAAGCCAACTTTTTTTTTTCTTCTTCGTGTGTATGAATGCACGTGTGTGTGCCACGGTGCAGGTGTGAAGGTCAGAGGACAAGTTGTTGGAGACATCTCTTTCTCTTCATTGTGTGGATCTTGGGGATCCAACTTAGGTCATCAGGCTTGGTATTTAGCACCTTTTCCAGTCCCAGACAGGATCTTGCTGTGCAGGCTTGACTGGACTGGAACTCCCTGTGTAGAGCAGGTTGACCTTAAACTTGACATGACCTTCCTACTTCTGCCTCCTAAGTACTGGGATTACAGGAAAAGTCCACAATACCAGGCCTCTCCTTTTGCTTTTTCATCCTTGTCTCTTGGGACTAGGTGCAGACCCCTATTTTCAAACAATAGTCCGATATAAGTTTTTTTGTTTTTTGGTTTTTTTTTTGGTTTTTCGAGACAGGGTTTCTCTGTGTAGCTTTGTGCCTTTCCTGGGACTCACTTGGTAGTCCAGGCTGGCCTCGAACTCACAGAGATCCGCCTGGCTCTGCCTCCTGAGTGCTGGGATTAAAGGCGTGCGCCACCACCGCCCGGCTCCCGATATAAGTTTTATTGAAAACACAAATGCTGAGATGTCCTGGTGGGGATGGGGTGTGGCCTGGCACTCTCTCCATGTGGGACCCCCTCGTCCCTAGAGCTCTTGCCAGGCCCTGCCGGGATCTGCATCTTGGCAGATATCTTCACCTCCCCACCTTCTACACTTC